GTGGCATCCTGGGTGTTAGGTGACTGGTGTGGGTGGCATCCTGGGTGTTAGGTGACTGGTGTGGGTGGCATCCTGGGTGTTAGGTGACTGATGTGGGTGGCATCCTGGGTGTTAGGTGACTGGTGTGGGTGGCATCCTGGGTGTTAGGTGACTGGTGTGGGTGGCATCCTGGGTGTTAGGTAACTGGTGTGGGTGGCATCCTGGGTGTTAGGTGACTGGTGTGGGTGGCATCCTGGATGTTAGGTGACTGACTCAAGAAATCGTAATGACACGATTGCAAATAAACCATACCCCCGGCCGGGATTGAACCCGCGGTCATAGAGTCTCAAAACTCCAGCCCGTCGCGTTAGCCACTAGACCAGCTAGCCACAATAAGATTCGTCTGTAAAAACTTGCATTTGTGGTCACAGGGGTGGCCTGTTTCTAACTCCTACGGTGTGAAAATATACCTAGTTGGATGAATCTTATTGTGGCTAGCTGGTCTAGTGGCTAACGCGACGGGCTGGAGTTTTCAGACTCTATGACCGCGGTTCAATCCCGGCCGGGGTATGGTTTGTTTGCAATGTGTCATTACGATTTCTGAGTCAGTTGACGGCGTGAAGGACTTGAGCTAGAGTTTGTCACGGCCACGCTAGCTGGAGATTCGTCTGTAAAAACTTGCATTTGTGGTCACAGTGGTGGCCTGTGCTAACTTTCCTATGGTGTAGAAATATACCTAGTTGGATGAATCTTATTGTGGCTAGCTGGTCTAGTGGCTAACGCGACGGGCTGGAGTTTTGAGACTCTATGACCGCGGGTTCAATCCCGGCCGGGGGTATGGTTTGTTTGCAATCGTGTCATTACGATTTCTTGAGTCATGTTGACGGCAGTGAAGGGACTTGAGCTAGAGTTTGTCACGGCCACGCTAGCTGGAGATTCGTCTGTAAAAACTTGCATTTGTGGTCACAGTGGTGGCCTGTGCTAACTTTCCTATGGTGTAGAAATATACCTAGTTGGATGAATTTTATTGTGGCTAGCTGGTCTAGTGGCTAACGCGACGGGCTGGAGTTTTGAGACTCTATGACCGCGGGTTCAATCCCGGCCGGGGGTATGGTTTGTTAGGTGACTGGTGTGGGTGGCATCCTGGGTGTTGGGTGACTGGTGTGGGTGGCATCCTGGGTGTTAGGTGACTGGTGTGGGTGGCATCCTGGGGACAAAACTGACCTAATATGCAGGAAATGCTGTACATAACAAGGAACTTTCTATATAGTAGTATGTCATAGGTGTCAGCTATGGTCTGTATAAGTTGTGTCAGGTACTGGTAGTAATAAATATTATTATTATTATTATTATTATTATTATTATTATTATTATTATTATGGTCTGTATAAGTTGTGTCAGGTACTGGCAGTAATAAATATTATTATTATTATTATTATTATTATTATTATTATTATTATTATTATTATTATTATTATTATTATTATTATTATTATGGTCTGTATAAGTTGTGTCAGGTACTGGTAATAATAAATATTATTATTATTATTATTATTATTATTATTATTATTATTATTATTATTATTATGGTCTGTATAAGTTGTGTCAGGTACTGGTAGTAATAAATATTATTATTATTATTATTAATTATTATTATTATTATTATTATTATTATTATTATTATTATTATTATTATGAAATAAATTAGTTTATATAAAAGGGTTTAGGTTTGGTTAAATTAAGCTAGGTTAAGTTAGTTTAGGTTAGGTTAAGTTAATTTAGGTTAGGTTAACTTTAATTAGTGTAGATTAACTTAAGTTAGGCCAAGATAACTTAGGTTAGCTTAATTTAGCTTTACCTTCATAATGTGATATATACCTGAGGTGAATATTTCAGAGCTGCTCGTATTACTGTATATCTGTGTATATATACCCTTGTTTCTCACAATATATGCTTCTGCAACTCAAATGGAATTAGATAAACAAGCTGTGTAATAATTATAATAGTAGTATATTAGTAATAATGATTATTACAAAATAGTATAATTTGGTCAATTTTTTGGCAGGTCTTCCTGGTACTTGTGACTGGTACTTATAGTGATTATACTGAAGGTCATCCTGATACTAGAGACTGGTACTTGCAGTGCCTATACTACAAGTTCACTATGTCAGAAATACTTGAACACAAAGGCGTTCATAAAACACAAATTGAAGGTGACATTGAGGACAAACTGTATCAGGATTTACAGCCTCTGACACATCCTTCGCAGGACTCTCAGTGCGTGTCCTCGACGAGAGTTAACGAAGGCAGCAACAAGCTTCAGTGTTCAGTGTGTCAGAAAGAATTTTCCTACAAATCCTATTTGATGAAACACATGCGAATCCACACTGGGGAGAAACCATACCAGTGTTCAACATGTCTAAAGGACTTTACTTACAAACCTTCCCTGATGACACACACGAGGATCCACACTGGGGAGAAACCTTACCACTGCTCGGTGTGCCTAAAGGACTTTACTTACAAGTCCTCATTAATGAAACACACAAAATCACATACCAGGGAGAAATATCAATGTTCAGAGTGTCTAAAAGTCTTTTCAACAAAGTCTAATTTGGAGCAACACATGAGAATTCACACTGGGGAGAAGCCATATCAGTGTTCAGCTTGTCTTAAAGATTTTTCAGATAAATCCAGCTTATTAGGACACTGGAGAATTCACACTGGGGAGAAACCTCACCGGTGTTCTGTATGCCGTAAAGATTTCACCTATAAATCTAGTTTAGTAAAACACATGACGATTCACACTGGAGAAAAACCATACCACTGTCCACAGTGTCTAAAAGAATTTTCTCGGAAATCTATCTTAGTAAGTCACATGAGGATTCACACGGGGGAAAAACCATACCAGTGTCCTGAATGTTTGAAGAAATTTTCCCAACAATCTCACTTAATCAAACATCAAACAATTCACACTGGAGAGAAGCCATACAAGTGCTCAGAATGTCTGAAAGAATTTTCTAGGAAATCGTATTTAATATTACACATAAAAAGCCATGCTGGGCAGAAGCCATATCAGTGCTCAGAATGTCAAAAAAAATTTGCATTGAAATACAATCTAGTTAGACACATGAGGACTCATACTGGTGAAAAGCTATACAAGTGTTCAGTATGTCTAAAAGATTTCTCAGACAAGTCTACATTAGCAAGTCACATGAGGAGTCACACTGGTGAGAAACCCTTTCACTGTTTACATTGTTTAAAAGACTTTTCTAGAAAATCAAGTTTAGTGAGTCACACAAGAACTCACACTGGTGAAAAACCATATCACTGCTCACAGTGTCTACAAGACTTTTCTCAAAAATCTAGTTTAGTGAGTCACATGAGGGGTCACACTGGTGAGAAACCCCATCAGTGTTCACAGTGTCTAAAAGACTTTTCTAAACTATCTAATCTAGTCCAACATTTGAGAATTCATACTGGAGAGAAACCATATCAGTGTCCAGAATGTCTAAAAGACTTTTCTACAAAATCTAATCTAGTCCAACACATGAAAATTCATACTAGGGAAAAACCATATTGATATTCAAAATATCTTAAGATACAAATTAGAAGTCATGTCAGTCGTCAATTTCTAAAAATCTCAAAAATTGGATTGAATTTAACACACAGGAATTTGTGGTACCTTGTGATGGGATTAGAAGACACGTCCGGTAAGTGGACACAGATCAACTAATGCGACATTTTATTGGGGCAACGTTTTGCTCTCCAGGAACTTTGTCAATCCTAGACACAGGTACTGGAGAGTGAAACATTGCCACAGTGTCACATTAGATGCAGCTGTGACCTTTTACCTGACATTCTGTAGTTAATTCGATTAGAATGGGTATGAATCTGTGATTGGCTCCAATTATTAATTACCGATTAGAATATGTAATTCAGTGCAGTGAGGAACATGTAAATAAACGGTTTACAAAACTGACAGCTTGATAAATGAGACACTTGTGCTACATTGGTATTAGAGCACCCTCCCCTTCCCTGGATCAAACACGGTTACCTTGTGTCCCCCCCCCCCCAGCACTGTATGACCCACTTATAACTGCATTAAGAGGTGTCTGGTTTAACCAGCAAGTGGTTTAAGATTTTTTTTTTGTAATTCTCTCTTTGATAAATAGACAGTAATGACAGTTTGGTATTATATAATCTTTAATGTATACACTGACGGCTTGTGCGTGTACATGTGTACGTTTTCTACATGTTGGGTACACGTCACAAGTTGTGTATGTCATGTGTATATATGTAGTAGAGTAGTATTTTATATACATAGGTGTTAGTGTCTTGTGTATATACACTGAGAGGTGTATATCTCAGTGTACATACACTGAGAGAGATATATCTCAGTGTATATACATTGGTAGTTTACATTAATCACTATTAGTTGCATCTGTGTCAGTTTATCCACATTTTGTGGGTAGTTTTAACATTATCACAAAATATGATCCATATATGTATAGTACACACCCGTAAATATAATTAACAAATAACACAAAGTATAACCCATGAGAAGCATATTTTTAGAAAGTCCTTGTATGTTATGCCCGGGTATGCTGTACCCGCTGAGGATAAATATTAAAATGTATTTGTTGCAATGGCAGTACTGTTATTATCGAGGAACATGATGTGATCATTGATGTGAATGTGATCACTGATGTGAATGTGTTGATCATTGATGTGAATGATGTGATGATCATTGGCATGATGTGGTGCTTACATGATGTGATGATCACTGACATGATGTGATGATCACTGATGTAAATGCAAGGTTCATTGTAATACAGGCGCCCCTCGCTTTACGATGGTCTGATTTTGGATATTTCCACTTTACGACAGTGCGATAGCGACACACACACACTGTACTGTATACTTATTGATAGGATAAACTTGTACAGGTCGGCCATCACTGATCCTGCAGTCACTAATCTGGCACTAATTTTGACTAGTGCCATTGGTAAAAGTTTACGTCCCAGGGCTTTCAAAGGTATGACACAGTTTCCTGTGATTTATCGTGCCAGGTCCAGCACACTACAGGCCGTAATGATTCCGGATTAGTGGTGGTCAACCTGTAATCATTCTTTTACTTTTCGATAATGATATTCAGTTAGAGTAATTATTTATTCATTGGCAGTAGTTATTTATAACATATTTGTACTCAACTTATGATGTTTTCAACTTACAATGGGTTCTTTGGAACGTAATCCCATCGCAAGTCAAGGACCACCTGCAGTTTTAATGGCACCATTGAGGAACGTGAAGTGACAATCATTGATGTGAATGCCAGATTACTGGTCTATTTCAGAGAGCACAGTTGTCGTTTCACTCAGGTATGATAGATTCTGTGGAGAAAATCCCCTTCTCATCCGCCTCACAAATGAGGTCAGTAAGTCTCTTGTTCATAATTTCATTCTGACCGGAAAGCAGCTCTTGGAGTATGGGTTGAAACGTGTGGCGTAACATGTTTTTACTGATCGACTCTCCGATTGGCTTCTCAAGTAAAGGAAAGAGTAGTTTCGCCATTCCTAGCTTTAAGCCATCAGCGATTACTTTGACCGGTAAGAGAAAAGGCTTGTCTAGGTATGAAGGCTGTGGTACTTTGTTGACAGGATTACTGGTGCTAAGTGTTCCTAAAGTCAGAGCACAGCCAGAGAGGAACCCTATAACGGAAGTCCGCTCCCATTCTAGTTTAAATTGTATGTAGCTCCAGCTGGCAGCAGGTGAGCCCAGCTTGGCAGCAAGCTTAGTGAAGGTAGAATGGTAGAGGTGCAGCAGGTGATCTAGATGAGCGTTCCTGACGGCGCGCGTAGTTGATGTGTAGAGGAGATACTGTAGATCAAACATCGGATTGCCCCAGCTGCTGGTACCCCAGTCAATGATTTTTAATGTTTCGATTTCTTGATGGCTTTCATGTGCCTGGGAGACCTGCTGGCTTGCAAGTGTCTGAGAGGTATTGTGGCTTGTCTGTGATATGTTGTGGCCTTCCTGTGAGTCCTCATGACTTAACTGTGTAGCCTTATGGCTTGCAAGTGTTTGCGAGTCCTCATGACTTGCCTGTGCCACTGGGCTCTTATGTTTGTACATTATATTATTAATCCAATAATCTCCATGATTTAAGCACATGATATCCTCTCCGTCCAGCAGTATTGCTGAATATTTATCCAATAATCTCTGTTTACAGGCTTCGAGTCTTTGTGTACATCTCTCTTGTCGCCAACCAAAAAATCAATGTAATTTTTAGCATAGCAGATGCAAATTTGGTTTAAATTCTTGGGGTATCCAAAGGGGCCCGAAAGAAAGGTATTTATTACGGAAACGTTTTCCCGATAGAACCATGTAAAGGGGCATAAACTCTGGCAATGTGTTTATACGACCTAAGATGCTCAAAATCCCCCCTTAAAACTTTGTAAAAATTTTGTACCGGATTTAAGGTTTTCCATTAGAAAGACTTTCTCATTTCCCAGTAACGCCCAAGATAAATTGTGGGAGGGTTTTTTCTGGGCCCCCAAAGGGCTCTGTCTCCTGGAACTCATTGGCTTTAAAATTATTTTTCGTAAAACCCAAGTACTCTTCGGGCCCAGTATTCACCTCTTTTCTTTTCACATTCATCAATCCAAACTGTAGAATTTTCCCCGCCAATTGGACACATACTGCGGGTGACTCGTGAACCATCTTGTAACACGGGTAACCAGCTTGCGACCAGGGGAACCCCCTTTCCCCTTCCCCTTTCCACCCAGACATCAAGAAAACACCAACCAGACTGAACGCATCACCGACCATAACCTAAAAACAAAAAAAAATTCCAAGAAAAATAAAGTCACATCCAGTCAAACCTCCCCTTTCCTCCACAAAACCAGGAAACAATTTTAAATCACCAAAAAATAAATAAAAATTACGCAATACTTCTGAAAACAATTTCCCAATGTCACTTTTTAAAAAATTTAATAATGTTGTAACATTTTTAAATTTAAAAAAATTTTAGCCAGTTCATTTTTTATCATTTAAATTTATTGTAATAAATTATTAACGCACAAACAAGTGACAACTCTGGGGAGGTATAATGTAGGTTTTGGGGGAGTAGTTGGATGGGTGTGAGTCAAACCGCACACATGGGCCAGTAGGGCCCACTGCAGTGTAAAGTATAATAATTGCAAACTGAAAATATGACGTGTGCAAAAACCCAGGTTGTTTTATCAAAAGTCCCAGAAAATACGTGAAGGTGACTATGTGTAGGTGTGATACTGGAAGGGACGAGGTGACTATGTGTAGTTTTCTACAGTGAAGGTGACTTCAGGTAGTACTACGTAAGTGACACGTGAAGGTACTGTGTAGTTACTACTGTTAAGGGGACTACTGGTAGTTACTACTGTGAAGGTGACTTGGGAGGGACTACTGTGTATTACTACTTTAAGGGGACGTGTAGTTTTCAAAGTAAGGTGACTGTAGGTACTACTGGTAGTTTTCTACTGTGAAGGTGACTGAGTGACTAAAGTGAGGTGACTACTGTGTATTTTCTACTGTGAAGGTGACAAATGTGAAGGTCTTCTGTGTAGTTACTACGGAAGGGGACACTGTGTAGTTACTACTGTTAGTGAAAGTAGGTGACTACGTAAGTGACTGAGGGGACAAAATGTGAGTTACACGTAAGGGGACTACTTGAAGGTGACTGTAGGGGAACTACGAGGTTAACTAATACTATTCTATTTCTACTACACATTCCCAATACTGCACTACTACTTACACTGCACTACTACACTATACTACCTACTACAACTACTACACGCTACTACTCTCACACTACTACTACTACTACTACTGCACTACTACACTGCAATACACTACTACTACTACTATATACTACTACTGCCACACTACTGCTACTACTACTGCACTACTCTACACAAAATACAAATACTGCTACACTACACTGCTACTTACTGCTACTACTACTCTGCTACTACACTACGCGCTACACTACTACTACTACACTAAACTACTACACTACACTATACTACTACTACTTACACTGCACTACTACTACTGCACAAAACTACTGCACACTACTCATACTACTGCACTACTACTAACTTAAAATGCTACTACTACACGCTACTACACTACTACTAACTACTACAAATGCTATACTAAAACTACTCTACTGCTACTACAAAGCTACTACTACTACTGCTACACTGCTACTACTACAAATACTACTACTATCTACGGGCCCCTATACTGCACTACTACTCACACTACACTACACGCACTAAATACTACATACTGCACAAATACACTGCTACTACTTTCTACTACTACTACTGCTACTACTACTACACTCTTCTACTACTACTGAAATACACACACTACTACTACGCTACACACTACTGCTACACTCACTACACTACACTACACACTGCTACTACAAATATACACTGCACACTACACCCCCACTACTACTCACGCTACTACAAAAACTACTGCTACTGCTACTACTACTACTGCTACTGCACTACACGCTACTACTATGCTTACTCACTGCACTACACATACTACGCTACACTACTATCACTCACAACTACAATGCTACTACTACAAATAACTACTGCTACAAAATACTACTGCTACTACTACTGCTATGCACACTACTACACTACTACTACACTACTATACTGCTACTACAAAACTCTACTACTACGTACTACAATACTACTACTGCACTAACTAAGCACCAAAATACTACTACACTACCTATGCTGCTACTACTACTACACTGCTACTACTAACCCCTGCTACACTACACTACTACTACTGCTACTACAAATACACTGCTACACTACACACTGCTAAATACTACTACTACTACGCTACTACTGCAATCTACTACTGCTACACTGCTACTACTAACTCTACACTACACTGCTATATACTGTCTACTGCATACTACTTCTACTACTACTCTACTACTACTGCTACATTGGGTACTATTGCACTAAATACTAACTGCTGCTGCTACTACTACTACTACTACTACTACTGCAAAACTACTACTACTACGCTACACACACTGCTACTACTACTACTACGCTATACACTACTACTGCTAATACTACAACTATTCTCCTACTACTACGCTACTAATACTCCCTACTACAATGCTAATACAAAGCATTTACTACTGCTACACTATACTACTACTGTTTTCTGCTGCTAAAACTCCCTACTACTACTCCCTACTATTACTACTACTACTACTACGCACTACTGCTACTACTACTGTACAAATGTACTACTACGCTACTGCTATTTCTACTGCTATACTATTACTACTACTATTATTATTTTTTTGCACTACTATGCTACTACTACTGCAATTTTACTACAAATACTATTAAACTGCTACTACTAACTACTACAAACCCCGGGGGTGATATTGAAGGCAGAAACGCGTGTTGACCCCCAGGATGGAGCCCTAAAGGTAGTCCTTCCGACCCCCTGTAGCCACCTCTCACCCTTTGTTTTAAAACTACTACTACTACCATTACTACTCCTACTACCTATTCTACTACTATACTACTACTACAAACCGGGGGTAGTGAAGGCAGTAACGTGTTTTGCCTCCGGGGATGAGAGTCCTCAAGGAAAGTCCTTCATGACCCCCAGTACCACCTCTAAACTTATTTCCCTTTGCAAACTTCTACTATTTTACTACTACTAAACTACTACTAAACTACTACAAACCCGGGGGGTGATAGTGAAGGAAAGAACTTCGTTTTGGACCCCAATGGGGATTTCCTAAAGGGTGGGCCTTCAGGGACCCCCTTACCACCTTCACCCCCTTTCAAATATACCCCTACAACAAATTCTACTACTAACTACTACTACACTAACCGGGGGTGAGGGTTTGAAGGCATTTAAACGTCGTGTTGCCCTCCAGGATGAAGTCCTCAAGGTAGTCCTTCTGACCTCCTGTAGC